TATATATATATATATATATATATATATATATATATATATCTTCTCTTTTTTTTTCCCTTTTTTTTCCCTTTTTTTTTCCTCGGGGTTTTGGTTAGTTCAGCAGGGAAGGATTCTCCAAACCATGGTAGGAATGGAAATTGAGATGTCATGTTGTGATGCATTGCCACTGTAATTATCTACAATAGAGCCCATTCCTACGTTGTTGTATTCATCATTCGCAAAATCGCCAGATCTAATTGCTAATCGCCCGGTTAGATCGGAATCGGCCAGTGGCTGGTTCCGGTTTGGGGCGTGATCAACTGGTATTTAAAAAAATAAAATATAAAAAAAAATGTACATAAATTCTCAAAAATAAGGAATTTGATTTGTAATGCATTTTTAAATATTCTTTACATTATGATAAAGATTAAAAATTGTTTGGTCATTAATACTCACTTTTATATTTTCCCATATTTTTTAAAGAAAATTAAAAATAGCCCTTGGAAACTATAAATGGGTTAAAATCCATTTTTTTCATTAATTTTCAACTTCATTTGAATGTGTTTTGTTTTAATCCTTCTTTATATGCTTTTTATATTTTAGTAGATTTTTTTTGTATTTTTTTATTTTTTGTCAATACTTTTTTGACTGCCCAAGACTTGCCCGGTTAGAGCGGTTGAATCGGCTGGTTTACTGGTTAGGCCGGTTAAACCGCTTCCAAGCCCATGTCTGGTTAACCGTTTCGGTTCGATTTTGCAAACACTGGTTGTATCTCTACATCTTAAAAGAAATAATAACAAAATTGATAAGTGCATTTCCATGATGCTCGATTGTTGTAATAATTAGATCCCACTTAGAAGTTCCTTCTATGGCCAAGGGATTAGCCAACTCATTGGATTATTGGCAAAAGTCTTTGAAATACGCAAATGTACTTTAGCCTACATCGCTAACAAGCGCTTTTGGCCGCCCAAGCTGTGACATTGGCAGAATCTCCTTCACCCAAAATGGAGTTCCAATGTGTAGACTCCGCTGTCCAATCAATAGCTCTCTTGTTTACTCTCTATTGTATCCCCACTTCTGTCATCTTTTCTATTTATCAACAATGCGAGGGTCTAGAAGGAATCATGGTACTGGTATTGTACTCACAATTATCTCCAAATATACCTTATTGTGAAATAAATTGATGATAAACCTTTTACAGTTGCTTTTGGGGATTTATTAAGGTCACCTGGTTTTGGATTATTCGGTTCCTTTCAACCGCCTTCTGCTATGAAAGTAGTATATGCACAACCATCTTCTATTTCTGATGTTTTCTTATAGAGAAATTATTGATATTTCTCCTTTTAAACGAGTACATAATGCGCCTTACTTATTGTGGCTGCTTTGGGCACTTCATGATTGCTTCCATGAAAGTTAAGGTCCTGTGATTATTCATTATTCTGACAAAAATAATGTGGAACTTGGTTTTCAAATTGGTCGTCCGTCCTCTCTTTTGGAATCACTTGATGCCATTAAATGATGATGAAGTTATCAATGAAGAATGTATTGAAATAAGACTGGGCCTTTGTGATTTGGTATTTCTATTGGATGGGAAACTGATTTTCGAATTTGAATTGGGCAACTTTTTCTGCAGGTAGTCGTGGTGGATCCTGAAGCATACACTTATGATGATGAAGTGATCAAGAAAGCAGAAGCGATGGGAAAGCCAGGGCTCGTGGAGATTTATGCGAGGGAAGACAGCTTCATCTTCACCGTCGAATCCACGGGTGCAATCAAAGCCTCTCAATTAGTGATCAATGCAATTGAAGTCTTGAAGCAGAAATTGGATGCTGTCCGTCTTTCTCTGGACACTGAAGAAGGTGATGAACAGTTTGGCGAACTAGGTGCACACATGCGAGGTGGAGGGATATGATAAAAGAATTTCTGGTGCCTATGGACTCTCTCTCATGCCCATAATGATGCATTCTTGCCTAGGGCCTTGAGACCTGGACTTTTGGGGAGCAAGTAGTTTACCCTGTTCAATCTTTTACTCTGACAACTAAGGTATTACTCATTGACTCAAATGCTCCCACTTGAGAGCTATAACATGTGGAAACATCTTTTGCGCAAGAAAAATTTGAGAGGCTGAGATTCAGAACCGTTTGGCTCGTTTATCTTGGTTGGAGTTGGAAAGATCACATTCTGTTTCAAATTTAACTACCCTGGGCATACAAAACATGATTTTGGATAGGACCCATTTGTGTGATATGGAAAGGCACAGATTTTTCATATTCTGCATAGCATTAGTATTCTTTGGAACCGGCCTTTGTATTCACATTTTACTACTGTTTACATCAGTGTTTAAAACACCAGCTTAGGGACCTGAATCAGGTTCCAGGTGGGTCTGAGTTGTCTGAGCTGACTCGGTGAGCCACACAATTGGCTTGGCAATGTACAAAAAGTAGAGAAAAAGTAGAAAAATGTTAAAAAAAAATACATAAAATCAAGTTTTAAAAATAAAAAAATTAATTTCACATTTTATGATATTATACGAGTGATATATCAAAATCAAAGTAAAGTATTAAATAAATATATGCTTTGGAAAGAAAATGGTGGAAGATATTGGCTGATAAATAATAAAAATCAATTTTCAAGATTTTTTATTTTAATTAAAAGAATTTGGTAGGGGCTTTTGTGGATCAATGTAATAGCAATTTTTTTGTAATATATTTGAATGAAATTGGTGAAACAATGGGAGAAATTGAAGGATTTTTTATTTCGGGATTAAAAAAACCCCGAAATGTAGACGCTAACTTTCTTCTACTTTTGATTGTTGATCCAACTGCTTCCCTTGTTTAGGAAACTTTGAGGAATCCATGTCATCCTCTCAGTACGTTGTATGTATGGTCCACATAGTGATGACAAAAATCACCACTTAAAAAGGGTTAGTATTCGGTTCATAAGTCAACTCGCCATAACGGGTGCATCCCCAAAGATATTTAAGGACGCGGGTAGCATGCTGCCAGCCCACATTGTAGAAATGTGGGTTTGGCAATAAATATATTTTTTAAATATATTTTAATCCTAATTTTTAGAGAATATATAATCTTTAATATGGAGATCATGAATATGGAAAAAAATAAAAAATAAAAACTAGAAATAATAGTTATGTTAAGAAAACATTTGGCTCGTTAGTTACAATAGATGGACTACTTATTTGTATTCACCTTTAAGATGAAAGGTTTATACCTATGGACAACATATTTGTAGAAATACGGTCTAGCACAACAACTGTTCTTAAGGTAATCAGACAATGCAAACTGATATTCACTTTTTTTGCCTTTTTCTTTTTTTTTCTTTTTTTTTTTTTTGTTACATACTTTAAAAGATTTATTGCTGAAAAGAGAGTATTACAAACTGATATATACTTTGTCCAAGTAATCAGATGGTGCCGAATGGACCGTTAACTCTGGTACCAGCACCCTCCCTCCTTCCTCCCTTCCTTTCATCTAATTTATTTTTTGTTTTGATTTTTCCCAATTCCTCCCATTCTCTTTGCTAAACCCTTGGCTTTCTCTCTCTCTCACCTTGGGTCTCATATCTTTCCTCTCTCCGATGTCGTAAGGTTTTCCCAAAACCTCTTCACTCAACTCCGGACACCTCTCTCTCTTAAAATGAAGGTTTTTGTGGTTTCATTTTGTTTACTATGGAGAGATCGCTCACCTACAAATAACACCCTTTCTCTCTTAAAATGAAGGTTTTTGTGGTTTCATTTTGTTTACTATGGAGAGAGCGCTCACCTACAAATAACCCCTTTCTCTCTCTACGATTGACTACAATAAGACCATTTATCTTTGATATAAGGTGGTAACAACTTATTTTGATTATTGGATGTGAAATTAGATAACTGTATTTTCTATTGACCAAACTCAAACTTCAAAAATAAATTTCTCAAATTTTGTGACAATCAAGCTATAAGAATTATCAAATGATTATAAGTAGTTGTGACCTCTTTATATCAAAAATAAATGATCTTATTGTATACAATCCCACTGAAAATATATATGCTTTTATCCTCCCATGATCCCAAACTTCTTTTAGAAATTTTTTGCTCTCACCTCTACTGGCTACAAGATTGAGCTCTCTCTCTCTCCTTGGGTTATCCACTTCAAATTTTTAGTTGTTGGTTATCCTCTCTCTGCACTTTTCAGGAAGTGAGATCTCTATGCGCAGTTGTGTCTTCGGTAATGCTGGCTCAATGTTTTAGAGTTTGAAAGCTCGTACGGGTTGTGGTTTAGTGTCAGTGAGAGACGGTTTTGTTGAAGGGGTTGGGTTGATGATACTTTGATATGTGATATTAATGTTGGGTTTATGTGGTCATTGAAAGTCTTATGAGAGCCTTTATAAACATTTTATATAGTGAAACATAAAGTCAGTGGTAGTGTAGCCTTTGTGTGGACAATACTAGGCAAATGTTCTGATACTTAGACTTAACTTGATGTACTAGGCCAGTTGAGTTGGAAAACCTAAGGTACTTGGACATAGAGATAAACCGATGAAGGATCAATGGGTCATTCTTTAATGAGGTCGGAGTTGTCCGGATGAATGATCCGAGGGACTGTGTGACCCTTGTATGTGATGGTTGGCCTTTAGATAATGGGTCAAAGCCTCATCCCCGATCCATCACACGCCATGCACATAGATAGCTGTCTCGAGAAAATGAACCACCTTTAAAAGTGAAGCGTGTATATGTGCCCATAGAGCTGTGATTGTATCATGGTCTGGGGGACTATGGATTCGTCTCTAGGGGAGAACCTGTAGTTCATAGATTAGGATTGTGTCTCCTAGCCTATTGGCTAACTTTGATGGCCCAATCATGAACCCCTGCAATGGACTGTGGGTCATGGGAAAATTAGTATGGATTATAAGCAGTAATTGAACGTGGAGTGCTCCAGCTATTTATTAATTCCTAGACCTATATGGATTCAATTCACATCAAAATTATTTAGTTTTAATTATTTTGATGATATTTGATTTTTAAAATTATTGTTTGAATTTTTTTTGCATCTCTGGATATTTTATTTTTATAATTTGGATTTATAAATCCATAGTTATTTAAATATTCAAAAAGTAAAATACAAATTGTTTCTTTGTTTTTAAAAGTCAAAATTGTAATTTTAAGTGATTGATTATTTCATGGGAGGGCCACTATGAGATATGGGCCACCATGTCAGAGGGGCCCATGAGAGGTCACCTAAGGGGGCAGGCCCTTAGTAAGTCACCAATTTAATTGTGACTTTTTCAAAAAATCACCATTTTTTTGAAAAACGATTCAATTTGCGACTTTTTCAACAAATCGGTAAAAATATGCGATATTTTTAGGAAGACGTTTAAAACGTGACTTTCAAAATTTGAAAAAATAGTTTCAAAAAAACTTTTCTATTAATATACTCTTTTTTTTTTTTAAAAAAAAAGTTCAATATCTTTTTTCTATTTTATGAGATTGCTATTTCTTTTTTTATTTCTATTCTCCCGAAACTTTCTCTAGTTCTCTGCTATGGATATGGTGCGTACTTTTCTGGTGGTTATGGGTAGATCATAGTTAGCAAGTATAGGGTATAC